AACAATGCAAAATGTCGCCTGAACAAAAGGCTATTGCCTCTCTGCTATCTCGCACCACTTACAGTTGGCTCAACAACCAACCACAAAGAATCACCAAAATTCCTTGCTGGTCGCAAACTTATCGAAGATATTGAAAGAGAGCAGACACACCAGCCAGCACTATTTCTGACCGTGTATGGTTAATTGCCTCAGAGAGAGATTTGGCAATGCTTCTCGCAAAAAAAAAGTAACAATTTAAAGTGTCAGTGGATGACATATGCCTTAATTACCACAAGGTTCAGCTAATACAATAACAACAATAGTCCCCTCACTGTGCACCTATAATGGATACCGATTATAATTTGTAAATTAAAGAAGCTTTTAAAGAGAAAGAAAAAAACGAAATTTTTGGCCAGCTAAAAATCCAGATTTAATATACACATTCACTCTCCGTTTTCGCCTGGAACGAAAACCATCCTGACGCATTGCCCCCAAATCCAAGGGCATACCTGGGCATGTGACAGTGGGGCAGCGTCCCTTCTGGGGTCTTGTGCCCTACTCCAGGTCTCCCCCCCCTTTGTGGGGGGGGCCCCACACTAGCGCCTCATCAACGCACTTCCCTGCTGACCTGGGGGCTTGGGGGTTCGTGCTCTGAGAAAATTACTGGGCAAACCTGGATGGAAGGCGGGGTTGGGGCCGAGACACAGGAGACCTTTCTCGCACCTGGTCGGAAGAAGATGCCTTGCGTGGGGCAAAGTGTGGAACGACCTCCCGGCATGGGGAGTTAGAAACTGTGTTCGACCTACCTCGTGCAGTTCACGCCTTCAACCAGGGCCTGGGGAATGCCAGGACCAACGAGAACAAACAGTGCGCAGAAAACGCGAGATCAGGCCAGCGGGCAGCCTTCATCCCAGTCTCCTGGGGTCCTCGCAAGAGACTGTCTACTTCTAGATGAAGAAAACAGGCGGGCGTGAAGGGTGACGGTTCATATATGAGGTCAGGATTGAGGCCCCGGATGCTGGAGCCCCACAGGGATCGGAGGGACCGCATGCTTAGCTTCAAATTAGGCATGAACTCTCCTGCAGATAGGTAGGAACACAGGTCTCTCCCACAATCTGCTCAGGATGCCTTTCCAGAAGAAACAGAAAAGATCACTTCGACGAGAATTCGTTCTTGGAACCAAGCCGTGACAGCAAAACGACAGACAAAGAAATGCCCACATGAACACAAACCCATCTTTTCACCACTGGTTGCAGACTCAGCAGCCCATCAGGAGCCTGAAATCTGTAGACCACAGACCTTTGCAAAATTTGAGATCACTGGCCACCAGTGGGGCAGCTTGTCCGGTCAGGTAGCGCAGGCTTGGCGCCTAAGGAATTCTCTGCGGTACTGAGTATATAAGGCATTGTTATGATCTTTGGGAAAATTAGCGAAGCTCCTCCGCCTGGCAACGAGCAGCACTGCTGTTTGGTTGTGCACCCCAATCTGTTGTCTGGTTGCAATAGGTTTAGTCTGATTTTTGACACGTAAATCCTAAGAGCCTCCAGTTTTCTGGCTCACTGCAGTGTTCTTGTCACTTTTAACGTCGTGTGGTGGGAGGCTGAGAGGTGCCTGACCAGTGCTTGGCGCTGGAAAGTCTTGTGGATCACTGGATCCGGGCCACTTGCTGGATCATCCAGGCTAGCCTGACAGGATGTGCTGAGGGTGAGTGACTGAGTAGTGTCTCGCAAGAAACTATGTCCCTCCTTTCCTCTGGTAACCCATTGCTCCAGCAAATTGCTTAAACTTTTATATTTTTTATTTGATCGAGAGATGTCTTGCTTGTGTTGCACAGGGCTACAGTGCAGCCGTGGCGGTCAGCTAGCCACAGCAACCTCAACTCTGGGTAAGCAATCTCCTTCCTGGCTCCTGGTTAGCGCTGTGGACTATAGGCAATGCGGCACGTTCATGCCGGCCTACATTTGTATCTATCCTATTCGTTGCACATGAATTTCTTTCATAATTTATGAGTAGAGGGAAGGTCTCACTCCAGTGTGCTCGGGGCTTCAAACTCCTGAACCTCGGCAATCCACCGCCTCGGCCTACCCAGAGTGCGTAGGATTACGCAGCGCATGAGCGCCTACGCCGACTCTGCTCAGACTTTCTCCGAGATGTTTTTATTTTTTTTTTTGTCTGAGACAGAGTGCGTCGCTTTGTTAGCCAAGCTAGAGTGCTAGTTGCCGTGGCGTCAGCCTCGCTCCCGCAACTCCGCACCTCTGAGCTCGGAGCGGTCTGCTCGTCTGAAGCCACTCCCGATAGGTGGACTACGGCGCATGCCCAGCATCATGCCGCTAATTGCTATACGATACTTAATAAATATATATCAGTTGGCAAATAGTTTCTCTCAACCTTGATTTATAGTACGAGACGATCGCGTCTTCGCTCCTTGCTCAGGCTGGTTTTGAACTCCTGACCTTGAGCAATCCCGCCCGCCTCGGCCTCCCAGGAGAGCTAGGATTACAGCGTGAGCCACCCGCCAGCCGGCCAATTTTTTTTTATTTTTTGCAGAGACAGAGTCTCACTATGTTGCCCAAGGTGGTCTTGAACTCTAGGCCTCAAGCAATCCTCCCACCTCAGCCTCTCAAACTGCTGTGATTATAGGCATGTGCCACCACTGGCTCCACTTTTATGTAACAAAGTTGTGGGTTGTTTTTCAGTTGCCCTGGATCCCAGGTTGAAGGCCACATAACCTGAGCAGGCCCAGATGAACCAAGCCCATGACCGTGGGCAGAACCCAAGCGCTTGGACTGAGGAACAGGGACTGAATTAAGAAGCGGACACAACATGGCAGGATCCAGGATCCAATCATAGTAAGTCCCAGTGTCACCCCAAGGCAAGAGCCAATCAGATCACACCTCATTACCTTCTGACTATAAAACCAGCACGAACCCCTGGCTGGGGGACACACTGATTTTGGAATCATCCCCAGTGTAATCCTTACCTTGGACAAGTACATCCATTTCTGTAACCATCTTGGCTGTGTCTATTGGCCTGATACCTGCCAACCGAACAAGCCCCTTTCTTTGGGCGGTGACACCTCCTAAAATGTCCACATCCCCATCCTGGAACCCGTGAACATGTTGATTTATATTCAGCAAGAATTTTTCAGGTGTGATTAAGTGATGTGTCTCGAGCTAAGGAATATATTGAGTCATTCCAGGGGCCCAGAAGTCCCACACTGTGGCCCTAGACCGGGCTTTGGGATGAGGAATGGTGACACCCTCTAGAAGCCGGAAGAGGCAAGGAAACAATTCACTCCTAGACCCTCCAGAAGAAACGCAGCCCTGTGGTTGCCCTGTCAACTCTGGCCTCTGGGGCTGTGAGAGAGTACACTCAAGTTGCTGTAAGGAAATAGACCCTCACTAGCTGGATTTGCCTCTGGGAAAAGGGAGGAAACTCCTCCACCCTGGACAACCGGAGCCACAGCTATTGGTTTTGCATTTGTTGATCTGCTTGCAATGGTTTAGTTTGACTTCCGGACACGCAACACTCTGGTACTTCTGGCTGCTGTAGTGCTCACGGTCACTTTGTGAGGCGTGTGGTGGGAACCAAGGATGCTGCCCAGGCCTGGGCAGCCTCGGTCCGTGGGCTCCCCCGGTCCCTTGGCTTCCCCCGGTTTCCTGTTGCTGCCGTACTCCGTTGCAGCCGCGATAGCAAGCTAAGACACCACCTTTCTGGGCTTCTAACTCAGTTTCCAACCGCCTTCCCACATCAGAGCCTTCTCCCAGGCTCTTTCTGTGGCCAGGCCACCCTCTTCTCTCTCCCCACCTGTCCCTTCAGCTGGCGAATCCCCCTCAGCTTTCTGGCCTCAGCCTAAATGACCTTCCTCTGGGAAGCCCTCCCTGGCCCTGCCCTGGCTAGTCAGGCCTCCACACCCCCACTTGGCTCGCATGACACCCTTTGCCTTCCCACATGTCCCATACCCATGCTCTCTCCCCCTCCCTCCCTCACCAGCCCCCTCGAGGGTCTCCAGTCCCACCGCCTCTCTGTCCCGTAAGTGTTTGTCTGTTTGTCCTGTGTTCCTCTTCCTGCAGGACAGAGGCTCTGCGGGACCAGGGCCGGCCCAGTCGTGGCTCAGTGGACATTTGCAGGACGGATGGACAGACGTCAGGGGTGTGAGGAAGGCCAGCTGCACTCCCCCCACAGCTGCCGCCTAGAGCGACCTTCCTCCAGCCCCTGGCTCCTCCTCCTGTCATTCGTTCACTGGTGCATTCATTCACTCGTTCGGCACACAGTTATTGAGCAGCTGGGCTGTGCCAGGCTCTTTCGGTCGGTGGGGAAGACACCAGGACCAATAAGGGAGGAACTGAGTAGGTGCTGCAGGGACCCAAGTGCAGGGGACCTGAATGGCCCAGACCCAGGCTCCCAAACTGGGACTCACGTTCCCGTCTGCAGAGCAAACTCACTGCCTGAGCACACACGCGCCCAGGAGCCAAGCCCACAGAGGCCCAGGGTTTCCGCTGGCATTCCCTTGGAGGGGCAGTTTGGCACAGGGGCCAGGTCTGCACGCCGGGGACTCCCGTCCTGGGTGAGGACCGCGTCTGAGTTCTTCTGTCGCGGGATCCACCCTCATTCCCAGACCTCTCAGCAGAGGCTGTCCCTCTGCCCACACTCACAGGAAGCCTTGAGAGCTCAGAGGCAGAGGGAGACGCTACGTGTCTTCGGCTTCCTCGGAGCCGGCGGCCGGCGCACGCCTCCCCGCCCGGGCCGCAGCGGACGCCCCGGCTTCCCGCCTCACCGTCGGCCCCACGCCCTGCTCAGAACCACATCCAGCTGTTCCGTGGAATTTTCAAGATGGGCTTCATGGGCACATCCCTTTTTCCCATCGCACCACACTCTCATTGAGGTACTCCCCAGTGGCGCTAACTTGAGGGAGTCAGGTTACCTCTCTGGGCCTCAGTTTCCCCTCCTGTGAAACGAGGGAGTTGAACTTAAGGATCCGACAGCTAGACTCTGTCTTCCGCACATACGTGGCACTGCAATAGCATCCAAGAGCTTTAATTGTGGGACAGAATAGAAAGGACCCCGTGGGGTTGGAGGGGGAGGGTACTGAAGGACACAGACCATGATTCTAAGGGGCGTCTGAGGGGCCGGACTCCGCGCTCTGAGTTCATCTGCAGCCACTTGTGTCTGGCAAGTCCAGTGAGGCTGTGGGGCTCCAGCTGGTTCTGCCCGAGCTGCCGACTGGGGGGCAGCTCTCAGGAGGTTGGGCAAGGGTGCAGGCGACAGGGAAGGACCGGGATCGCGTGCGCGCGCTGGGACAGAGCCCACAACGGTGGTCTGGGGTAGGACGAAGTATAGATGCTCTCCCTCTCCCTCGGGCCAACCTTGGACGCCAGCCACTTCTGCTTCAGCTGCTCGTAGAGTCCATAATTGGTAGGAGGCGCTGCAAGAGAAACCAGGGGCTGGATGAACAGGGCTTGCTTAGAGAAGGCGCGTCTGTCCCTCCTGGCCGCGAGGGTGGCAGGGGCCCCGGAGAGTTTCCCAGGCTGCTCTGGGGCAGCCCCTGGGCGTCTCAGGGTGGGGCCTGCTCGCGAGTGCTCCAGGAAGGCCAGGCGCTGCCTCCGAAGCCTTGGAGAAGTCAGCCCCATGGAGAGGTTGAGTATGGCCCCGCCAGGTCCTGGGTCATTTTCCCACCCCAAAAGGGAAAGGAGCAGTGTGGGCTGTAAGAGTGATGTCAGGGAGAAACCCCAGTCACCCAGTGACAAGCAGCTCATTCTGTGACTCACTTCCCTCTGCATCAAAAGTAGAACTGCAAAGAGATGGCACTGCTCTGTGTCCTCATTAGGGTCAGGGTGGCTTGAAATGTAAACCAGACCAAGGCACTGTCCTACAAAAATCGCCTTGTAGGGTCTTGGAATGGTGGTTTGGACAAAATCTACCCCTCTTCTTGTACCCTATAAGCCCCTAGGTGGCTCCTCTCTGCTTCTGCCTTAAAACTTTTTCACTTACTGCTTCCTCCCCTGGGATGCTCTTCCCCTTAATCCCTGGATGGCTCCCTCCTTCTCAGCTCAACTATCCCTCAAGAAAGACCATTGCGTGGGGGAGTGGGGCAGGGGCAAGATATGTAACCCTAACAATATTTGTACCCCCATAATATGAAATAATAAAAAAGAAAAAAAAAACAAGAAAGACCATTGCACATCAACTCTAGGAGGAATTTATGAACCAAAGAAGATTCACAAATACCCCACTTTACTTTCTATCCATAACCCATTTCTTTCCTTGGCACCTATCCCTGCCTGAAATATTCACTCATGGGTGAGTTCTCTAACTCGTTAATGATGTCTTATCTGTCTCCCCACTGGAACGTCAACTCCCCAAGGGCAGAAATTCCTCAGTGTTTATCTCTGCTGTGTCCCCACGTGCTACAAGAGGGAACGCCACCGGGAAGCATTCCCTCACTATTTATGGAGTGAATAGGCTGGAAGGGACTGTGCAGCAGTGTCGCTCCCTGCCACCTGTGCTCCAGGTAAACACGCCACCCCAGTGCACAGGTGAGCACGTCCACAGCACAGCCAGGATTATCCCGTGTCCAGGGGAGAGGGCAGGCGGCGGGGGAAATAGGGGAAATAGGGCTCATTGCCCCATAACTTCACCCTGCCGCCCGGCTCCCGCAGCGCGAGGCAGGGGCACTTCAGCCCCGTGCGTGTGTGGACCCTTTACAGACCGGCACTGAGGAAGATCCCGAATTATGAAAGTACCAAGAAGGGGGAAGTCGGACTTCTCTGGTAGCCACACCGACTTGTGCCCATTCCAGGAGCGGAGGGGAGGCAGGCCCGGGTTGTAATCGTGCCGGTTGTAATGGTCGTCGTAGGTGCTGATGAGGTAGCGTTTCGAGGGCTCCTGGTGGTGGGTGATCAGGTGTTTGTACGGGAGCCCCTGGGGGGACAGACACAGCGGGCACGTCAGCAACGGGACAGGAGCCGCCCGCCAGGGGGGTCTGTGGGGCCTCCAGGGCTGGCAGTTTGTCCCCCCCGTGCAGCCCACTTTTGAGCTGGCTGTAGTCAACTCGGTGTACGACCGGCCCCCAGACTACGCCAAGCCAATGCATCCCACAGTGAGCTAGGGCAGGACACTGAAAGTCCGGACACCCTGCTAAATGGGAAGAGTCAGAGCCACCTCCCTGTGTGCTCCTGTGATCGGAAATTGCACCCTGATTTGTCTCGAGTCCTTTCCGTCCAAGCGCCTGTTTCCCAGGCAAGTGGAGGGAGGTGCGGACCGGCCTTGGGTTTCCATCAGCGACTGTGGGAAGAGTCAGGGAGCCCTCCATAAATCGCCTTCTCTTGCAAAGGATTTACGGCTCCCTCAGCTGGAAACTTAGGGGAGTGATTTCTTTGGCAGGGAGTTATTTACAAGGAGAAGAAAACCATGTTCTCCTTCCTCTGGGATGTTTGCCTACAGCGGTGCTTTTCCTAAGAAAATCCTCTCGGGCCTGGAAGGGAATCCCGGGGAGCCGTGCTGATTTACAAGGGAGGATAATGTGGATTTCCACGCTTGTCCTCTTGTCTGGCGCAGACAGGGAGGTCTGTGTCCGCTGTGTCGGGAAATGCTGGCTGCGCCCAATCTTTCCAGTGGCGGTTCCTATAAATAAGTCAGATCACAATGCCAGGGGGAGACGGGGTGGGGGTGGGCACAGGCATGAGGCAGGGTTCCCAAGACCTGCAGCACCAGGTACCCCGCAGGGTGTGTCCAGTGCCCAGGAGAGTGAGTTGGAGGGTTTCCCATCAGCAGAGGAAAGTGCTGGGAGGCATCGTGCCAGGGAGAGCGGCCTGGGCGTGGCCCTGGGGCGTTGATCATGTCCAGGGATTGGTCTTTGATCAGGCATGGTCGGGCCACAGACATGGAGACGTTGCCTTTGAAAGAAGAGTCTATTCCTTGCAGTTCCCAGGGGCAGGGGCACACCGTGCCACATGGGGGCACAGGAGGGGGCAGGGCAGCAAGGGGGAGCAGGCCCAGAGCCTTCGTCGTGGTTTCTGTGGGCACCAACGGGTGCGGCAAAGCAGGCGGCTGGAGCAGGCTTAGGGCTGGGCAGTCGGAACAATCTCAGTGGGCGCTGGGGTACAGGGGTGGCCTCTTGTTTGGGGTACAGGAGTGGCCTCTCGTTTGGGATACAGGGGTGGTCTCTTATTTGGGGTACAGGGGTCGCCTCTCATCTAGAGTACAGGGGCTGCCTCTCATCTGGGGTACAGGGGCCGCCTCTCATCTGGGGTACAGGGGTGGCCTCTCATTTGGGGTACAGGGGCCGCCTCTCATCTGGGGTACAGGGGCGGCCTCTCATTTGAGGTACAGGGGTGGCCTCTCGTTTGGGGTACAAGGGTGGCTTCTCATCTGGGGTACAGGGGCAGCCTCTCGTTTGGGGTACAGGGGTGGCCTCTCGTTTGGGGTACAGGGGTGGCTTCTCATCTGGGGTATAGGGGCAGCCTCTGGTTTGGAGTACGGGGGTGGCCTCTTGTCTGGGGTACAGGGGCGGTCTCTTGTTTGGGGTATAGGGGTGGCCTCTCGACTGGGGTACAGGGGCCGCCTCTCGTCTGGGGTACAGGGGCGGCCTCTCATCTGGGGTACGGGGCAGCCTCTCATCTGGGGTACAAGGGTGGCCTCTCGTCTGGGGTACAGGGGTGGCCTCTCATCTGGGGTACGGGGCAGCCTCTCATCTGGGGTACAAGGGTGACCTCTCGTCTGGGGTACAGGGGTGGCCTCTCGTTGTCCGTACTTGTCCCCGGGGTGATTAAGGCAGGGGAATATCGGCTTGGCGTGTGAGCGTTAGAGAAAGGAGGCGGCTGGGGTTTGGGCTTTGGGGTAGTGATTGCCTGAGAAGGAGGAGAGGGGTGGGCGTGGGAGATGGGGCGGGAAGCTGTCTAGGGGGAGGCGGGCGGAATGACACAAACGTGTAATCGCTGGCGGATTGAGGGGCAGCGCTGAGTCCGGGCCCCAGCACACAGCGGGCGGTTTGAACAGGATCCTTACACGTGAATATCCAGTCATCTGGGCCTTGCCCGATCCGCAGAGCAGTAACCTGCTCCATCCCTTACCACAAGCCAAGTGTCCCGGAAAAGGCACTCACCACCTCTGGGCACCGAGCTGAGTGATCTCTTGGGTCCCTTCAAGCTCTCAAATGCTCTAATTCCGAAAGACATCTGCCACCTTACTCTGGGCCCACCCGCCCCCACCCTGAGTTTACGCTGCTGTAGCATCAGGCGGGGTCAGGGTGGGGAGACAGAAATCGCTTCTGAGAGCAGCAGGCTGGCAAAAGAAGCATCTCCCAGGGTGTGGTGGGGACAGAGCACAGATGTGCACGCGGTGGCTGAGCACCTGCAAGCTTGCCCTGCCTGGGGCACCTGGTGGGAGGCGCCCACAGGGCTTGCTGGAGGAGGGGCTCTCCCCACCACTCCCAGAAGGGCCAGGAGCGCAGAGCCGGTGCACTAACTTAGTAAATGTCTCCGATGCCCCTCCTTGGTGTGGGGGTGGAGTACGTTACATCCTGAGGTTGCAGTGCCCTGCTCCCTGCCCCAGACACCTGGGACACAATGATATGCACAAACAAGTGCCCTGTCAATAACGAGTGACCCTTGACTCTGCATGCACAAGTGTGGGCAGGCCGGGCGCGGTGGCTCACGCCTGTAACCCTAGCACTCTGGGAGGCCGAGGCGGGCGGATTGCTCGAGGTCAGGAGTTCAAAACCAGCCTGAGCAAGAGCGAGACCCCGTCTCTACTATAAATAGAAAGAAATTAATTGGCCAACTAAAAATATATAGGAAAAATTAGCTGGGCATGGTGGCGCATGCCTGTAGTCCCAGCTACTTGGGAGGCTGAGGCAGGAGGATCGCTTGAGCCCAGGAGTTTGAGGTTGCTGTGAGCTAGGCTGACGCCACGGCACTCTAGCCCGGGCAACAGAGCAAGATTCTGTCTCGGGCAGCTGGAGCGCAGGCAGCACAAACACTGTCCTTCCAAACGTCACCCCATGCTTGTGGGAGTACCTTGTGTGATTCCTCATAACATTCACCTGAATCCAACATTTGCCTTCTTCTCACGCTTTGCCTGTTTGCTGTGGGAAGAGTGTGATCCAGGGGCTGGGATACAGGCGGGGGAGATGCTACCGGCTGGAGATCAAAGGCACCACCAGCTCACACAGTAATTATGGTTAAGGCTCTCGGCAGCCCCTGGCCTGGGAGGGTACTAGCAAGACGGCTTCTGTTTTCCCAAGAGGGTACTAGTAGGCCTGGAAGCAGGCTGGTGTCCCCTAAGCTTTGGGAGGGTCCCAGGCCTGAGTGTCACCCGCCGCTCCCCCTTACCTCAAATCTCTTCTTGCTGTACCACCTGGAGATCTGGTCCAGTTTGTGGCCTGGGAAGGGGACGTACTCTTTTCTGTAAAGGGACTGGGGTGTCTCCTCAGTGGCTTTGGTGAACTGAAAAAGACCAGATACCCAGGAGAACCTCTGAGATGCTGCTTCTCAAACTTTGTGGGTCCTCTTACCTCCTGGGCCATGGGAAGATTGGCAGAGAAAGGGTAAAGGCACACCCCAGGACACCCTTCGAGACACAAGAAAGGATTGCTCTGGGGCTGGCAGCCAGGCACCCAGCGACCCCAGGGAGAGCTGTGATTGGCTGCGGGGCCACCTTCTCGTGGTCCACACCTGTTTCCTTCCTCAGCTTCTCTCTCTTCTCCTCTGTCCTACCTGCACTCTCCCTTTCTTTTTCTTTGTTCTTCACCCTTTCCAACTCCACTCTCACATTTTTTCCCATTATATTTTGTTAATTAGTTTTCTTAAAGTGTATCATGCTAAACTATACTCGACATAAAATGAACCACTTTTAAGTATATGGTTCAGTGGCATTAAGTACATTCACGTTGTTGTGCGACCATCACCACCGCCCATCTCCAAAACTATCTTCGTCTTGCAAAACTGCGACTCCATACTTACAAACCCTAACTCCCCGTTCTCTGCCCAGCCTCCGGCAACCATCATTCCACTTGCCGCCTCCGTGTTCCTATAAGTGGAATCCCACAAAAATTTGTCCTTTCATGTCTGGTTTATTTCACTTGTATTTCTGGTTATTTCAATGGTAATGTCTTCCAGATTCATCCATGTTGTAGCATATGTCAGACTCTTCTTCCTTTCTGAGGTTGCGTTACATTCCATGATATGCACATGCCACATTTTGTTCATCCATTCATCCATCAGCAGGCACTAGGGTTGTATCACCTTTCGGCTACTGTGAATGATGTTACTATGAATGTGGGTATGCAAATATTAACATATTTTTGAGTCCCTGCTTTCAGTTATTTTGGGTATACACTCAGAGATAGAATTGCTGGATCATAGGGTAATTCTATGCTTAATTTTTTTTCTTCCGATTAGCAATAATCGCGCCTTGGATAAATGCCTCATTGGCTACGATATTGCCCCTGCGCCAAGCTTCTGTGCTTAATATTTTAAGGAACTGACATACTGTTTTCCACAGTGGCTGCACCATCTTCCACTCACACCAGCAATGCACAGGAGCTTCAATTTCTTCACAGCCCCATCAATTCTTGTTATTTTTTTGTTTTTTGATAATAGCCATCCTAATGGGTGTGAAATGGTATCTTGTTGTGGTTTTGATTTGCATTTCCGTAATGATCAATGATGTTGAATATTTTTGCATGTGTTTATTGGCCATTTGTATATCTTCTTTGGAGAAATGTCTTTTCAAGTCCTTTGTCCATTTTTTTTAATCATGAGGTTTGTTTTTTGTTGTTGAGTTGTAGGAGTTCTTTATATATTCTGGATATTTAACCCCTTATCAGATATATAATTTGCAAATATTTTATCCCATGTCGTTGGTTGCCATTTTACCCTATCAAAAGGATATTGATAGCATCCTTTGATGCACAAGATTTTTATTTTGATAAAGTCCAATTTATCTATTTTTTTGTTTTGTTGCCTGTGCTTTTGGTGTCATATCAAGAAATAATTGCCAAATCTAATATCATGACACTTTTCCTCTATTTTTTTTTCTTCTAAGAGTTTTATAGTTTTAGGTCTTACATCTTGGTCTTTGATCCACTTTGAGTTAATTTTTGTATATGGTATTAGGTAAAGGTCCAACTTCATTCTTTTGCATGTGGATATCCAGTTTTCCCAACACCATTTGTTGAAGAGATTGTACTTTGCCCAGTGAATGATCTTGGTACCCTTGTCAAAAGTCATTTGACCACATATACACATGTTTATGTCTAGGCTGGTATTTGTTCCAGTAGTTCATGTATCTGTCTTTATGCCAGTATCACACTGTCTTGATTATTGTAGCTTTGCAATAAGTATTAAAACCAGGAAGTGTGAGTCTTCCAACTTTGTTCTTATTTTTCAAGATTGTTTTGGCTATCTGGGATCCCTTGAGATTCCATATGAATTTGAAGGTGGATTATTTCTATTTCTGGAAAAAAGAAAAAATAATTACTTGGATTTTGGTATGGATTGCCTTGAATCTGTAGATAGCTTTGTGTAGTACTGATATCTTAATATTAAGTCTTCCATCCATGAACACAGGATATCATTCCATTTATTTATGTCCTCTTTAATTTTTTTCAGCAGTGTTTTGTTTTCAAACTGTGAACACTTTTGGTGAAAGTTTTCAGCTAAAAATGTTTTCAGTGTGTATGTCTTTCATCTCTTCAGTTAAGTCTATTCATAAGTATTTTATTCTTTTTGATGTTATTGTGAATGGAATTGTTTTCTTAATTTCCTTTTTAGAATTCATTGTTAGTGTTTAGAAACACAGCTTATTTTTGTTGTGTGTGTTGATTTTGTATCCTGCAACTTTGCTGAATTCATTTATTCTAATTTTGTGTATGTGTATATGATCTTTAGGGTTTTCTCCATATAATATGATGCCATCTACAAAAAGTGATAATTTTATCTGTTCCTTTCCAATTTGGATGTTTTTCTTTTAATTGCTCTGGATAGAACTTCCAGTACTATGTTGAAGTGGCAAAAGCAGGCATCCTTATCTTATTCTTGATCTTACAGGAAAAGCTATGGGTTTTTCATATTTGGTTATTATTATGTTTAGGTAGTTTCTTTCCATTCCTAGTTTGTTGAGTACTTTTATTATGAAAAGGAGTTGAATTTTATAAATAGCTTTTTCTACATCAATTAAGATGATCATGTGGGATTTTCCCCCCTTCATTCTAATGTATTGACCAATTTTCATATGTTGAACTATTCTTATATTTGAGGAATAAATCCCACTTGGTCATGGTATATAATCCTTTTAATGTGCTGTTGAATTCACTTTTCTACTAATTTCTTGAGGATTTTTGTACCAGTATTCATAAGGAATATTAGTCTGTAGTTTTGTTGTGATGTCTTTGTCTGTCTTTGATATCAGGGTAATGCTGGCCTCATTTATAAAATGAGTCAGGAAATATTTTTTCCTCTTCAATTTTTTGGAAGAGTTTGGGAAAGATTGGTGTTAATTCTTTTTTGAATGTTTGTTAGAATCCATTTTGTCCTAGGCTTTTCTTTGTAGGAAGATCTTTGAGTACTAATTCAATCTCCTTACTAGTTAGAGGTCTATTCAAATTTTCTATTTCTTCATGATTCTTGGTGGATTGTGTATTTCCAAAAATTTGTCTATTTCATCTAGGTTATCCAATTTGTTAATGTGCAATTGTTCATAGTACTGTCTTACAATCCTTTTGTTTGAGAAAAAATATAATAATTCCCTATTTTCATTTCTAATTTAATTATTTGAGTCTTTTCTCTTTTTTCTTAGTCAATCTAGCTAAAAGTTTGTCGTTTTGTTAATATTTTCAAAGAGCCAACTCTTGGTTTTGCTAATTTTCTCTATTGTTTCTCTGTTCACTATTTTCTCTAATCTTTATTATTTTCTTCCTTCTATTAACTTTGGATTTAATTTGTTCTTTTTTTCCCTAGTTCCTTAAAGTATAAAGTTAATTTGAGATATTTTTTTTTCTTCTTAAATGTGTTTACAGCTATAAATTTCCCTCTAGCACTACTTTTACTGCATCCTGTAAGTTTTGGTATGTTTTATTTTCATTATCACTTGTCTCAAGATATTTTCTAATTTTCCTATGATTTCTTTTTTGACCCATTAATTTTCTAAGTATATTGTTCAATTTCTAGTTTTCCAGTTTTTCTGCTATTGATTTAAGTTCTTTTCATATGTGATCAGAAAAGGTACTTTGTATATTTCAATCTTTTAAATTTATTAAAAACTCATTTTGTAGCTTAACATATGGTCTATTCTGGAGAATATTTGATGAGCATTGGGGAAAATGTGTATTCTGCTGTTGTTGGGTGGAGTGTTCCCTATATATCCGTTAGGTCCAATTGGTCTATAGTGTTGTTCAAGTCCTCTATTTCCTTACTGATTTTCTGTTTGGTTGTTTTATCCAGTAATAAAAGTGGGATATTTAAATATCCTACTATTATTATAGAGCCATCTATTTCTCCCTTCAATTCTATGAATTTTCACTTCATATATTTTGGAGTGCTGAAGGATGAATTGTCCCTTTTGTCAATATATTAAATATGATGTCCTTCTTTGTCTCATAAGTTTTTAACTTAAAGTCCATTTTGTCTGATAGTAGCCATCTCTGCTCTCTTTTGCCTACTATTTGCATAAAATATCTTTTTCCTTCCTTTCACTTTCAACTTATATGTGTAATTAGATCTAAAGTCAGTCTCCTGTAGACAGCACACAGTTGGATCTTGTGTTCTGAAACCTTTCTGTCAATCTATGCCTTTTGACTGGGGAGTTTAATCCATTTACATTTAAAGTAATTATTGATAGCAAAGGACTTACTCTTACCATTTTGTTATTTGTTTTGTGTGCATCTTGTAGTTTTTTGTCTTTTATTTCCTCTCTTACTTCCTTCTTTTGTGTTTAGTTGATTTTTGTAGTGGCACATTTTGATTCCTTTTTATTTCCTTCTGTGAATATTCTATAAATATTTTCTTTGTGGTTACCATGGGGATTACATATACCATCTTAAAGTTATAACAATGTATTTTGATGCCAACTTAAATTGCACACCAAAACTTTACTGCTTTATAGCTCTGCCTTCACCTCACTTTATGTTATTAAAGTCACAAATTACATTTTTATACATTATGTAACCATTTATTAATACATAGATTTATAATTTTATGCATTTATCCTCTAAATTCTATAGAAAATAAAAAGTGGAGTTACAACTCAAAATTATAATAATATTGGTTTTTATACTTGTCCATGTGTTTACCTTTACTAGACAACTTTATATTAATATTTTTGTATGGCTTAAAGTTATTGTCTAATGTCCTTTCATTTCAACTTGAATGATTCTCTTTAGCATTCTTTATAAGGTAGGTCTACTGATAATGAACACCTTCAACTTTTGTTTATCTGAGAATGTCTTAATTTCTTCCTTATTTTTAAAGAATAATTTTGTGGGATCGAGAATTCTCAAATTGACAGTATTTTTTCTATCAGCACCTTAAATGTATCATCCCACTGCCTTCCAGGCTCTAAGGTTTCTCTGAGAAATACCCTAATAATCTTACTGAGGATCTCTTATACCTGAATCTCACTTTTCTCCTGGTACTTTCAAGATTCTCTCTTTCTCTTTGGTTTTTGATGGTTTAGTTATAAAGTACTTCAATGTGGATCTCTAGATTTATCCTACTTGGAGTTCATTAAGCTTCTTGGATTTGTAGACCTGTATATTTACTCAAATTTGGGAAATTGTCAGCTATTACTTTTTCAAATATTCTCTCTGCCTTTTTCTCTCTCTCTTCTCCTTATGGAATTCTCTCAGTGCATATATTGATCTGTTTGGTAGTATCCCATAAGTCCCTTAGGCTCTGTTCACAACCTTCAAGTTTGCTGATTCTTTCTTCTCCTTGTTCAAACCTTCTGTTGAACCCCTCTATTGAATTTTTCAATGCAGTTATTGCATTTTTCAGCTCTAAATTTGATTTCTTTTTATAATTTCAATTTATTTTTTTGTATTCTCATTTTGTTCATATATTGTTTTCCTGATTTACTTTAGTTCTCTGTCTGCATTTTCCTTTAGCTCTTTGGGCATATTTGAAACAGTTGTTTTAAAGTCTTTGACTAGTACTGTGATGCTTGGTGTTTCTTCTGGGAGAATTTCTACCACTTTGTTTTTTATTTCTTTGGTTGAGCCATGTTTTCCTGTTTCTTTGTATGTCTGGCAATATTTTTATTGAAAACTGGGCATTTGAAAAAAGCTAACTATTACAGTCTTTGTAGACTTGCTCTGTGCAAGAGGAGATTTATTTCTAACTAGGAGGTCATGTTCTGAGCAGTGGAGTCAGCCCAATATGACCATTCAAAGCATTCTTGGATTCTGGGTATACATCTTGCTTGAGCCTATATGTGCTTTTTACAATTCTCCCATATACATAGCTGCTTTTAAATGTCTTAATTTCCCAAAGAGAGAATAAGAGGGAAGTCCCTGCTTATTCTTGGGGCCTTAAATGTTCTGTTATATTACTCTACTCATAATCTCCTGCCCAGACATTTACAGGTCTGTAGTCCCCTGGCAGCTTTCACTAGCTGTGCCTGCCACATCTTTCCATGGTTTTTCCTAGCCTGGGACCTGAACTATGCCACTTTTACCCACCTGAGCTCCAAGTTAAATGAAACAGAGACCAATCCTCAGCCACAGACAGATTTGAATGTTGCTCCATTCCCCTGTGGATTTGAAGGAGGGAACTGGGAGCTGGGCTGCCACTTGCATGGACTGCAGCTTCTACCATGCTGTGCTGGGGAGGGGTGGGGAAAGGGCAAGTGAAAAAACCATGGGATTTTCTATCACTGTAAATGTGTCTTTTTCTTGATTGGGCATTTGACTGGTTGCTGTAGACCTTTGGCTGTTTTTCCAGAGCTCCTATAATATTTCAGCCAGTTTTTTTTTTCAATATTTTCATGGAGAATGAGGACCTGGAGCTTCATAGTCCTTCATCTTGAGGGCATCACTCCAACTCCACTCTCTTTTGCAATCTCCTCTAAGTGTGAGACCATCCCATAATATCCCTGAGTACTGCATCACCCACAGACACCTGAAGGCATTGCTCAACCAGTCCATCTTGCCCTTGGAACTTCCCTTACACACACTCATTCCCCAAACAAGGGCAAGTACACTTGGAGCTAAAAGTGACCACAAGTTATGTCTGACCAGAGGCGTGGTGATTGCTAATGTTTTCCATAAAAACAGCCTTATCTGGTTCTCAGAAGTCACCATCCACCTTCCCTTCTGTTCCCCAGACCAAACCTGCCAATTCTATCTTGCCCTTTGTTCCTTGCCCATTTCCCAAGAAGACAGGAGGATGTCTAGATGCCTCTGCAAAAGTTTGGGGGAGGTTGCTCATGCTTGTAATCTAGCACTCTGGAAGGCCGAGGTGGGAGGATTGCTTGAGTTCTAGACCAGCCTAAGCAAGAATGAGACCCCATCTCTACTAAAAATAGAAAAATTAGCCTTGGCAACGTGTTATGTGCCTGTAGTCCCAGCTACTCGGGAGGCTGAGCAGGAGGATCGCTTGGGCCCAGGAGTTTGAGGTTGTTGTGAGCCAGGCTGATGCCACGGCACTCTACTCAGGGCAACAGAGTGAGACTCTGTCTCAAAAAGTAAAAAACAGGTGTGAGTGCCTCAGTCTTGCTGGCTACAAATAAAGATATTTAATTTGAAGAAGTCCCATTCAGACACAGTATTTTCCAAAAGCCTTTAAAGCATAGTGGAAAACCAAGAGCCTGCTTGTGGTGTTTGAAAGTAAAAATTGAAATGCACAGATTGTGGAACCAGTGCCAGAGAGCAGCGCCTCCCTGGACATCCGTACAGGAAGTGCCACACCTGCCTCCGCAGGTGCCACATTCAAGGAGGGGCCAGGCCAAGGACAGCAGATGTTCTTCACATGCAAAGGAATTGGAGACAGGAAATATCCAAACGCCTAGAAAACCACTCCACTGAGAACAGTTCTAGAGGCACAATTATATTTATATCCTTGCTATGGTGTTTTGAAGATATAATGGGGACCGTGATGATTGCTTGAATTTAACTCCCCTATGCACAGAGACCCTAAGACCACATCCTTAAGACGCAACCATCCACTGCCCTTTCTAGAGGGACTTCACTCCCACCTCCCCCGTCAGTCCTCCCACTGAACCCTCTGCCCACCCCCTCCCCCCCTTACCTTCCTCCTCTCTTCCACCCAATTTCCAGTGAGCACTTTGGTTGAATACTTGGTCTCGATCTGCCAGCTTGGAGTAGAGAATGCCTGCGGATGTATTGCAGTCGAAAGCATGGTAAGGATTGGCCCCCCAGTTTCTTTGATTCCACACAGTTTAAGGTTTCAAGGGCAGGGGGAGGTGTTAGGAAGTTGCTGAGCTTGGGGCGCCTTTTTTTCTTCCCAGCTGCCCTCCTGAGTGGGTAGCAGCTGACACCCTGATGACTTCAGGGGATGAAACACCTGAGAGTCCACTTTCAGCCTCCAGGGGGAGGTGCCGTGATCTTAGACTCTCTACTGTTGACTGTCTCCACGGTGACAGACTCTGGGTATAAATACTCTCCTTCAGGGAGCAGCTGATTCTACAGAAGCAAAACTGACCCTATAAAAACAAATCAAACCGACAGCCACCACCCTAAAAACGGTAGCCAGAAGGACCTGGTTTCTGTGTCGTCGCCCCAGGACAAGCAGCGTCCTTTGCTGCATTTTTACAATGGGGGTGAGTAGAATTCTGCTATTTAAGGAATGCTGACCAACGTGCTTAGCCCATGCTAAGAAATTTATATACGTGTATTCAACCGGTTTTATCCTCACGGCAGCCCTCTGAGGCAGATGCCGTTATTGTACCCATTTTACAGAAGAGGACAGTAAAGCAAAGCGAGATTAACTAGCTACCTAAGGTCACCTAGCTACCATGGGGGAGCGCAGGTGTTTAAATCTACTCTGACTCAGGCCTAAACCACTGGGCTTCACTCCTACCTGTTGCTACTTTAACTAAGGGGCTTCTATAAAGAATCCTGTCTTTGTGCTCACACTGGTACAATATGGTTCCTTCTATTGGTCTTCATTCGTTCACTCCAAGATCATTTTGAGGTAGGGAGCCGGCAGGCCCTGCTTGATGAAGAGTCATAAGACCAGAACCAAGGTCTCTGATAAAACAGGAGGCGGTGAAGAAACCGGCCCAAACCAGCCAGAACCAAGATGGCCATGGCAAACCTCAGGTTGCCCTCACTGCTCATCAATGCATTAGCTACTGAAAGAAACTCCCACCAGCGCCATGACAGTTTGCAAATGCCATGGCAACACCCAGAAGTCGCCCTGGATGCTTTAAAAAGGGTGAGGAGCCCTCAGTTCCGGGAACTCCCTGCCCCTTGCCCAGAAATCTTGTAATTCTCCCTCTGCTTAACATGACATTAAATAGAGCATATAAAATAGCACCCTACAAACTCACCAAGTGTTGCTCTGAGAGATACCTGCTGTTCTGTCTATGGGGCAGCCACCTTTCTATTTCTTTTTTTTTTTTTTCTTTTCTTTTCTTACCTCAATAAAGTTATCTTGCCTTGCTCTGTCAGCTTGCTCTTGAATTCGTTCCCGTGCAAAGCCAAGAACCCACTGGCCTTCCGGCTAGACCCTAGTTTTGGGGTCTGCTTTCCTGTATCATCGCCACATTCCGTGTCGTGGGTGCTGAGCTGCAGCTGCGGTGTGCTGGTGGCCGGACCTGGGCCCCGTCCCCACAGAGCTCTGTCCAGTGAGACGAAGGCTGCCATCTTGCCTACTCATTAGGCAAAAAAATAAAAAACCACCTAGGTAGCCATCCACAGAGGGCTGGTTCAATAAATTGCGGTGCATTTATATATGAAACACTCTGCAACTGTTTTATTTTATTTATTTATTTTGAAACAGGGCCTTGCTTTGTTGTCTGGGCTAGAGTGCAGTGGCATCATCATAGCTCACTGCAACCTCAAACTGCTGGGCTTGAGAGATCCTCTTGCCTCAGCCTCCCAAGTAGCTAGGACTACAGGTGTGCACCACCATGCCCAGCTAATTTTTCTAATTTTCTTTTTGCCTACTTTAACGTGCCTGTTGACTTGGTATCCAGAAGTCGCCAGTCCAAGTCTACGGGAGTTCGAAGGCATCTCACCGGAGGCAGCCTGGCCAGACCGGGCACACTGCTGCCAGACGCCGGAAAGCAAAACAGAAACCAGATGAACCAGATTTAGTCAACTTCAGAGATCTCATGGCTGGAGTTTGACGTAAAGCTACTGAATTTGTGTGCGGTGGATGTGCTTTAGATGTGTTCTGGTGTGTTGTACCATGCATCTATACGTGGCTCAGGTACAAAAGTGGCTTATAAAGTAAAGCGAGCTCATATTAAATAAATAAACCAATGCTCTTCAAGTTCAATGTGTTGAAAGATGTACAGTGCCGGGGGGGTGGCCACGAGGCGCCTGTAATCTTAGCATCGGGAAGGCCGAGGCGGGCGGATGCCACGAGGCTTCCGAGTCCTCGAACCAGCCTGAGCAAGGCGAGACCCTCTCTATACAAGAGAAGAATTAATTGGCCAACTAAAAATAATAGAACAAAATTAGCGGGCACTGGCACGTGGACAGCCTGTATCAGTCCAAGATACTTGAGGCTGAGGCAGCGAGGATGCTTGAGCCAGGAGATTGAGGCTTGCTGTGAGCTAGGCTGACGCACGGCACTCCTGCCTGGGCAACACAGTGAGACTCTGTCTCAAAAAACAAAAAAAAAGCATGGGCTTGGAACAGATAAACGAGTCTTGGGAGGAGAAGCAAGAGGCTCGACTCGCTAGCAAAGGCGGTCTGCGTAAAGGAAAAGTGACTGCAGCCAGCCTCGAGGAACAGCCGGGAAGCTGTCTGTCTTCAGACCTTCGGATGTGTCAGACTCCAGTTCCTTCCGGAGCAGGTGAGGGTAGACCTGGCTGCATTTGGCAGATTCTACACGATGAAAATTCCCACACAAAGACAGATTTGCATTTATACTTATCTTGCGGCTCATGCAGCGGCAACCATTTCAAATACTGTCAAAGAAATATATCCTGGGTGAAATATTTCTAAATTTCTAAGGGCCAAGCGCCAGCGCACGACGCTGGCATTTAGACATCGGGGAGAGCCTGTCGAGCTTCCCTTAAGCTGAGAGAAGCGTGAAAGTTCCACTTAATAAGGGGAAAAAAGATCATGTGCGAGCTGCTGAGAGCTGTGGCAGATGATTTCTGTTTGAATTGTGAAGAAGGAAAGAATGCATTCAGTTTGCTGTGACATCTCACACTGCAAAACGTTACACACGTGCATGCACTAGTCTGCAGTTCAAGATGAAAAGGCATTACAATCTGTGGTGGAAGACCGAACACGATGATTTCAGGATACGTTGCTTCTTGGCGTGGCTCTGGGCTCAAAACAATATTAAAACACCAGAAAACAAAATATGTTTGTTGGTGCAATTGATTTGGTGCTAACTTAGATTTCAGGCACACTCGGGTTTGGAAGTGTTCTCAGATAGAAGGGACGACTGTAAGTTACAATACACAGAAGTATTGGCTCATCGTTGAGCCTGGGGATCTCTTGCGCGTCGTATGGTGGGACGGGAAGGGGAGGGAAGCAGCAGGTGAGGAGAGAGAGACACGATGGGGGCTGAACCACTGTTTATAAGGAACTGTCAAAGAAACAGAAGCAGAATCTGTGAATAATTAAAGAGGCTTATCTGAGCCGCAATTTAGGGCCATTGTCAGTAGATAGGCGGATGAATGGGGGCTGCTGAAAGTCGCCTCATGCGACTTTCATGGGGACCTCAGAGGGTGTCTGACGTGCAGTAGCGATCCAGGCGTTGCGCAAATGCGGTTTGCAGGCACCATGGACCGACACGCACTCCGCAATCCGATTTCTTTCTTTTTTCTTTTGAGACAGCTCTCTCTAGAGTGAGTGCCTGGCGTCCAGCTACCGCTCACAGCAACGCTCAACTCCTCGGGCTCAAGCAATGCCTGCTGTCAGCCTCCAAGTAGCTGGGACTACAGGCATGTGAATGCCCAACGAACACTAATTTTTTTCATATAGGTACTTAGTTGCCATTAATGTATCGGTGTGGTGGGCACTGAACAGGGAGACTGGGCAGGCCCTCCCTGGCCTCCCGTCTGCTCTGCGCGCCTGCTCACATCAGGTGGGGAGCTCTGATGTAAGCTCCTGCAGTTTCTTTGTAACACGCAGGCTGCAAAGTAGTATCGGTTCCGCCAACGCGTGGTTGGAGATACACCTTTCCCAGCTTTCCGTGGCTGCAAGCTAGTTGAGGAGAGTAAAAAATAAAAGAAGAGAGAGAAGAACCCAGACAAAGCCTGCACTCTACACGTTCTTGCTCCAGACGATTTCCACAGTGGGATGCGAACGTCTTGATCCATTGCTGGCGCTGCACACCTTGCCCTTCCGGCTATACAAACCCAAGAGACACATCGGTAGAATCATGCCGGCAAATCAATCAGAAAAAACAAATAAATATAAAAGAAAATTCCCAAGTAGACAGGATTTGGGAGTTAAAGCATTTGCTCATCCGGCACTTGATACCCGGAGAGAATAAAGCGAAAGTTGAAGGCTGAAGTCGCACAATTTTGCACAGACACTCTGCATGAACATCAATAAATAATGAATTAAGAGATATAGGACAGGATAAAAACATATAGTAGAGGGAGGGACTATTTAGGGAGATAGCAACGATATTACAATATAACTTAGTGACCGGTCAGAGATACAAATTCTCATTTACGTCATCGACAGGTCTAGAGGTGGATTTCACTGGAGCAATAAGAAAAATTCCTTGCATATTTACCAACTCACATTACAAACAATATTTAAGTTGATATCATAGATGACTTAGGAACTTACGGGTTTCACACTCGAGATCCACCTATTTGGCAGGTATAACATAATAAAGATTTATATATATAAAGATAAAAGGAATCTCACACATACCATGGGCACACAGAATAGAAAACAAGTTAGATATAAAAAGAAGCGCATGAAATAGCAATGCAATCCCTTGTACATCCGTCCATCTGAGCTCCTGGTGATAAGGTATATTGTCACTGAGCACGCTAATATACTGAAGGAATCTTTTTTTCTGAACATAAGGTCTCAAACAGTTGGGGGGCGCCCTTTTTAAATATTCAGCCAAAACAGATTGTTGTCAAGAACACAGATAGATTTAACTAACATAAATCTCAAGCCAGGATTTTCAGAATGCGTAAATGAGCGTTGGCTTCAAGAGTCACCTGATTCGCATAAACTCAGGTACAGTCGAAAGAAGTTTTGTTATGACTAACAAAAGATGCTCCTCTCACCCCATCACTCAGGAAATTCCAGGGTTTTATGAGCTCTGTGCCAGGAACTGGGACAACGACCAATTACATATTTATCTTAGTCAACAATATCCAAATATCCACAATTAGCTACAAAGGCTATTAAGTGCTGCTTTTTCTTCTAACTACATATCTATGTGAGGCCAGACTTTGTCACACAAATGAAACAACGTATTGCAACAGATCTCGCACAGGAGCAAAGGAGAATCCAGCTGTCTCTTAGCAGCCCAACATTAAACGTATTTGCCAAACGTAATAATGTCGCTCTCTAACTACATTTTGTTTTGGAAAATGGAGTTAATTTTCATTTAAAAATTAACTATGTTGGCTGGGCGCGGTGGCTCACGCCTGTAATCCTAGCTCTCTGGGAGGCTAAGGCGGGAGGATCACTCACAGACAGGAGTTCGAAACCAGCCTGAGCAAGAGCGACGACCCCGTCTTTACTAAAAATAGAAAGAATTAATTGGCCCAACTAATAATAGAAAAAATGAGCGGGCTGGTGTCGCTGCCTGTAGTCCCAGCTACTCGGGAGGCTGAGGCAGAAGGATCGCTTGAGCCTAGGAGCTTGAGGTTGCTGTGGGTTAGGCTGATGCCATGGCACTCTAGCCCAGGCAACAGAGTGAGACTCTGTCTCAAAATAAATAAATAAATAAAAATAAAAATAAAATAAAATAAATCAACTATGTTAACATACAAATTTTTGTGTGTTTGTTTGAAATAATAAATTTATGTTATAAATTTCTGTTTTAACTTCTAATATGTAAATATTGATGGATATACCCAGTGGTATGCTGTAAACTGGGTCTCTGAGGAAAAAAAACACCTGATGATGTAGTATTTGCCAATTCGGTGGTATAAATATTCCCGCTCTCACCAATTTCAAGCTACCAATGTGACTTCACAGAACGTGGTGTTGGGAAGAGGTCACAATTGACTCTCATGAGCTGGTACAACCCAGCTCCAGCACCACAGAATATAATCCCCATAAGGAAACCCTCTGAGTTGTCTGGGCGCTATGCCTGTAATCCCAGCACTTTGGGAGCCAGAGGCAGGAGGGCCACTTTGAAGGTCAGTGAGTTCGAACCAGCCTGTAGCAAGAAGGTTCAAGGACCCTGTCTCTACACTAAAAGTAGAAAAGTTTTTCTTTTTTTTTTCTTT